CGCGGTTGGGTGATTTATGGGACCCCCTTGACAGTTCGCTTTGAATAAAACTCCTTCAGCAAGGCCCAACCTTGGTTTTACCATTTGCCTCACCTAGCCCTTTTTCCCTTGGGTTTCCGGAGCCCGAGGGTCATCTTTACCCCCCCCCCCCAGGCCAGTGCTCCTCCGAGTGTTGGTCCAAACTAGAGCACCGTGCAGGACCATTCCTTGGCAACTTGGATTACGTCGGTTCCTGTACGCTTCTCTTATCCGGTGTGCCCTGAGAACGAGATATGTGCAGCTCCTATCGAGATTTGTCGGCACATCGGGCGGCTTTGCTGGTCTTGTTTTACCATTGTCGAAATGTCTTGTAAACCGGGATTCTGAGTCTGATCGGGTCTTCCTGGGAGAAGATACATCCTTCGTTGATCGCGAGAGCTTATCACGGGCTAAGTTGGGACACCCCTGCAGGGTTTAAACTTTCGAAAGCCGTGCCCACGGTTATGTGGCTGATGGGAATTTGTTAATGTCCGGTTGTAGAGAACTTGACACCAGATCCGAACTAAAATGCATCAACCGCGTGTGTAGCCATGATGGTCTCTTTTCGGCGGAGTCCGAGAAGTGAACACGGTTTCTGGGTTATGTTTGACGTAAGTAGGAGTTCAGGATCACCTCTTGATCATTGCTAGCTTCACGACCGTTCCGTTGTTTCTCTTCTCGCTCTTATTTGCGTATGTTAGCCACCATATATGCTTAGTCGCTGCTGCAACCTCACCACTTTACCCCTTCCTTTCCCATTAAGCTTTGCTAGTCTTGATACCCATGGTAATGGGATTGCTGAGTCCTCGTGGCTCACAGATTACTACAACAACAGTTGCAGGTACAGGTTATGCGATGATCATGACGCGAGAGCGATGTTTACTTGTTTTGGAGTTCTTCATCTGCTTCTTCTTCGATCAGGGGATAGGTTCCAGGTCGGTAACCTGGGCTAGCAGGGTGGATGTCGTTTGAGTTTCTGTTTGTGTTTCATCCGTAGTTGGATGTTGATATTGTGTATGATGTATTGTTGTATTCGTGTGGCATTCTATGCCTCTTGTATGTATCCCCATCTATTATGTAATGTTGATGTAATGATATCCACCTTGCAAAAGCGTTTCAATATGCGGGTCTATCCTTGGTGGGACCTTCGAGTTCCTTTTGGATAGGGTCACATATTGGGCGTGACAAGTTGGTCTCGGAGCCTCGACCGACCATAGGAGCCCCCTTGATTGTTGGTCGTTGTTGAGTCTAGAAGAAAACTATTTTTGAGTCTTAGGATTATATATATCGGAGAGTAGGATTCTTTTTACTCCTCAGTCCCTTCGTCGCTCTGGTGAGGTCTCCTGACGTAGATGTTTTGACTTTCCTCTCCTCAAATTTCACTAAAAAAATTTAGGATCTCGCGGGTATCTTGGAATCGTTCCGATGGTTTTGTGACGAGAACATTGTTCTTGGTGCCTCCTGTCTTTTATGTGGCAATGACCCGGGGAGTTGAGCTCCGAGGTGTTGTCGTCACAATTTTATCGTTGCCGAGGAGCTCCGAGGTGTTGACCCAGGGAACTGATCGAAGGTGCGAGGAAGAATTTTATAACTATCAAGTTTAAAAACTGGCTAGAGTGTTCATAACACTCTAGTCATGGAGGTTGGAGGTTATGAAACTTGAAGGAGGTATAAACTAGAAATTTCCCAATGAATAAAGAGAAAATCATAAGGAAGGAAGTCTACCACCTGCTTTATTTTGTGATGGAGAACTCTATCATACAACATTGACAATTATAAGACAACAACAATTGAGGGGAAACGAAAAGAGGAAAGGAAAGGAGGAGAAAGGAAAGAAAAAAAAGGAGAAATGAAAAGAAAAGAAAGAAAAAGAAAAGAAAAGGAGGAGAAAATAAGAGGAAAGGAGGAGAAAGGAAAGAAAAGAGAAGAATGGAAAAGGAAAGGAAGAGAAAGGCAAGAAAGGGGAGTATGTATGTGTTATCTTGTGTATTTATAGGGAAAAAACCATATTTATCTTGTGTATCACTACATTAAAATAAAGGGAATATGGAGTCTATATAAAACAAATGAAGAGGAGCATTGGAAAAGGAACTTTTAGAGTAAAGCAAAAGGAAAAGGAATACTCCTACTCCTACTCCTACTCGTATTGTTGGAGTACATGTCTTGAAAATGAATGCTACTCCTAAATTATTTGCACAATAAGCAAAATCAAAATTTACTCTTATACTCCATATAAAGAGCACAACACATCAATATTACTCTAGAACATCAGCATAACATCAAGAGTACCCTTACTTGTGAACCAACTTGTGGTTGGATGGTTAGGAGGACAGTGGTATCCCCAGCTGACCGGGGTTCAAGTCCTAGACTTGACATTGGTACACGGATTTCCTGGATTTATTTCAAGCTTTGCGGAGATGTTTGTTCACTGGGAGGAGACGTTCATGTCGATTGCGAGGTGCCTGCGGTGACTTCGTAAATCTCAAGACGCTACGCTGGCTTAGTTTCTCAGAGGTGCTCATAGGGGTAGGGTGCGCGTGCGTGCGTGCTTTCATAGGGGTGAGTGTATGTGAGCAAATTTGATTGTACTGTGTTGAAAAAAATACTCCTACTCCTGTTCTCCAAATGAGAGAAGCATTGCCTAAGTTAAAAAAGTCGAACAATATTCGGATGACTTGAGTAGTATCATAGGAATACACAAACATGACATTCAAAGGACAGTGGCAATGACTGAATTTTAATTAACATAATTTCACACAAAGTAAAACTACTCCAGTTAAATTATTTGACTTTATTCAAATGATGGTAGTATGTAGCACCTACTCTGGTTAACTTACTCCAGTAAAATTCATGTTAGAGTAGTGATCCAACAATGTCCAAAGTTGCAACATTTTACTCCTAGGCTAACTGCAGGACTCCATCAGGAACTAAACTTCTAGGCTAACTGAACAAGATCGAACTAAACTCCTATGTTGGACTGAACTAAACTCCTATGATAATTAAACTGAACTCCATCACATTCCTAAGCAAACAATACTTCATCTTGTAGTGATGGAGTAGTAACAAGCAGTATTTCATCCTACTCCAATGACATTGACATGTCATTCCTGTACAAGTAGTATTTCCTATACAAGAAGTATTTCCACTTCATCTTGGAGTATTTCATTTGAGTTAACTCTATATATGTCATTCATTCCTATACAATCAACATTTCCACTTCACCATACTCCAGTCAGGGATAACCCTAGCACAAACAATAAACGGCAAGGAATCCAGCAAACACTCCCACATACTCCAATAATTATTCCAACAATGCAAACACTGCAAACTGACTAGCAAACTTGCATGAAAAGGAGCAGTATTGCAAACACTACAACATACTCAAGTAATCCTACTCATGGCAAACAGTACAACATGTACTCCTACTCATGGAAAAAACTAAACCAAACATGGCAAGAAACTGAACCAAGCCGATTACTCTTAGTTCCTTGGTAAACATCGTAATAATTTACTATGGGTACTCTTAAACAGAGTTAACAATATGGATCGAGCATAGCACTATTAATAGCAACCGGAGGCGAGGATTCGAGCATGGTATTGCTCACCTTGAGATTTTGTAGCCGAGGCCGGACTCAAAGTGCACGGGTTGCGGTGTGCACCGTCTTGCCAGCGAGCTTGGCCACCAGCCGTAGATGAGTTCTGAGGAGGAGCACCAGGAGGCGTCGACATTTGGGGAGATGACTGGGCAATAGCGAGTACAACATCGCTGCCACCGGATCTGGCTTCCAGGTGACCGGATCTTTGAGTACTGCACCGCATCGCGCAACGCTGTCGCCGGATCCGTGGAAAAGGTTAAAAAAATCAACCTTTTACGCGGATCCAGCGGAGGTAGTGTGAATCCAGCGGCGCAAAGGTGCCGACGCGTGTGTGGTCGAGAGAAGCAGCATCCACACGGGCAGGGAACCGGCAAGGAAGAGGAGGAGAAGGGGGCAACAAGATAGGAGTAGAAGGAGAGCGGTGAGGAGAAATGGAAGCGAGGAAGGGGGAAGGGGAAATGGAAGGCGATGAATCCTGGTTATTTTTCTTCCCAAATTGACAGTTACCGCAAGTAAATTGGAAGGGAGTACAAGTTTTCACTCATATAAAAAAAATAAAACGTAAACTCGGACAGAGGGAAATACATGACAACTGCTAGCTCACAAAACAAAGTTAAGACAAACAGCAAACCTCCCGGTGCCAAGCTTCGAAAAATAACTTCAGATCTATCCTACTACTACTAGTACTAGTATCCGCCGCTCCCAACACCTCCGGCCAATCCAACTCCCCGCCGGCCTGCCCGTCCGCCAGCCGCAACCCCTTCCGTTGACCGGCCGGAAGATGGCCGCGCCGTGCACTTCCATCACAGACGACCGCCTGGCCGTCCTCCTGGAGGAGATCTTCCTCCGGCTACCCACCCCAGCCGACCTCGTCCACGCCTCCGCCGCCTGCGTCCCCTTCCGCCAGATCGCCACCGGCAACTCCTTCCTCCGCCGCTTCCGTAAGGAACACTCTCCCTCTTTCATCGGCTTCATGGACTGGCACGGCTTCCGCCCCGCGCTCCCTCCTCACACCACCGCGCCCATAGCCAGTGCAGTCGCCCGCGCTGCTGACTTCACCTTCTCCTTCCTCCCTAGCCCCACCCCCTACCCTACACGCTGCTCCCAGACCCCGGCTGCTGGTGCGTCCGCAGCATTCGCGACGGCCGCGTCCTCCTCGACCGAGGCCACAAGAGAGACTATGGTTCAGTCCTCTTCCCGGAGCTCGTGGTGTGTGACCCGTTACACCGGCGATACCACCTGCTTCCACCGATCCCTGACGACCTAGCCGCGCCGGTGAGGGACGCACTCCATCTGACTTACCAGCGCAGCTGTGAGGTCATCCTCGTTCCTCCCGGCAAGGAAGTGGACAAGGAAGAGTACGAAACTTCATTTCGTGTAATCTGGATGGCACAGTGCAAGACCAAGGTGGTGGCATTTTTCTATTCTTCAACCACGGGGCAGTGGCAATCCATTGCATCAAAGGCTTGGAGCGATTTGTTACTCTGCGGCATGCCAATTGTATCTTTGAAATACCGTTTGTTCTACCGTAGTCATTATGCCTACGGATGTTTGTACTGGCCGATGACGAATGGGATAGAATTTGGGCTGAAGAATCGTCCGAGGGAAGCTATGCTCATGCTTGACACCATGACAATGGAGTTCTCCGTTGCTGATTATCCACCTGGAAGATGGAGAGGGTTCCAGGTTGGCATCGTGGAGGCAGGGGAAGGCAGGCTTGGATTGCTCACTTTCTCAATTAATGACGCAGCATCACAACTTCGTTATATGGTTAGGCAAAACACAGATGGGAGTAACAATGAGTGGCAGTTGGAGAAGATAATCCCCTTGGGTTCGGGCAATCATTCTATTGTTGCTTCAACCGAGAGGTACTTGCTCCTCCTAAGGTTAGATTTTGGGACAGACCACTCTGAAGGTCTCTCATTAGATGTCAAGACATTTCAGCTTGAGAGGGTGTGTGAGCTATCTGACGTTACAAGCAGGTCAATATATACCAGCTTCCCTCCATCATTGTCATCCAGGACAGTATGAAGTGGTACAGTTTCATTGCACAACCTTATTATTCCATTTCTTCATTTCCTTGGTTATCACTTGTTTGATGCTTTTAACTATGAACTTCAAGCTATTATGTATGCGGCCGTTTATTATTTTCAGAATGATGCTGCATATTTGAACAAGTATTCTGTCTACATGCTGAAGAATGCTATTGCTTATATGTGAGTTCTAATTCTCGATCTTATATTACACAAGCAGCATCCTTGAGCTTATGCATGTTTTCCTATTCTATATCATTATTATGATTTTGTCTTGCTTGTGGTATCAATCTCTTGACCTTTGACCAGTTGTTTGTTTATAATGGAATACTAAAAATTACAAGGAAATATGTCTTTCTGGGATAGTCAGTCATTTAATTCTTTTGCAACAAATATTATGTTTTCCATCAAATATTGCCAATTATTTATATGCAAGTTTAGTAACCTCCTGCCCTCTTCCAGTTCTGTTAACTATTCTTTTTCTTATTTACATGAAACAGAATTACCCTGTGATGAAAGGGCTTCAGATGGCTGTCATGGCAATTGCATCCTCAAGGACGAGTGCCGACATGGTGCTGCATACTTTTGCTGCAGAAGAAGTGGTTTTCTTGTTCTCCGGTTGGAGTTCTGTACAAGTTCTTTTATATCACAATTGCCTATCATTCGTCTTTCCTTATGCTAGCTGGGAAGGAGGTTTTTTTCCTGCGGACATTTTGATTCTCTTTGAAACATCTTGTCAAACTATCTTATCAGTTTCATGCATCCTGAAACTTGGGGTCTGGGGATCCTTAATTAGTTGATAGTAACAAGATCTGTTCCTTTTGGCCAACATGTTATAATAAACTTACCGCAGTAACTCGTACCAACTTTGTTCATGTCTGATTTCTACTTGCGCTACAGAAAAGTCAGGAAGTGAAACATTAGGGATTATGTGATTGTGATGCAGATCTAACTTAATGTGTACCAAAGATGGTCCTCATTTTTTGCCAACGTAATGTTTATTCTTTGGCGGATGCAACTATCCTGCAAACATAAGAGATTTTTTGGATTGACGCTTTCGGAAGTGTACGTCCTGTTGGATCTTGAGATGATTTTACTTTGTAGTCAACTTTTTACATACAAACCTTGGATGATGTTACTAAAGTTATGTTGCGTTCGGCCTGAATCTTATACTGCCTGAGAGCGGGGCCTGATTCTGAAGATTCGTAGAAACCAGGAAAGGCAACTCAGCAAGCTTCAAACATGTAGGTTGTAATATATACACTCAGTCACACCCGTATTAGATACATCCGTATATAAAGGAAAATTAAGCAGTAAACATGCACACCGGGCACCAGCTCTGAAGGAGACAATCCAAACGCTCTGCGCCTCGCCGGTGCCGCCAGCAAGTATTGGGGCACGATCCTGAACACTCTGAAGGTGAAGCTGTAGCTGTTCGTCTCTGCGCTTCTTCTGGATGAGCGCGAAGACTGTCAGTTAAATATGTGTTGTCAAACTTTCAGAAAATTCAGCTTCGTCAGATTTAGAAAATTCAGTTCGTCAGTTTCACTCGCGCACATCGCCCAACTCGCGCACGTCGTCCAGTTCGTCAGTTTCACTCGCTCACGTCTTCCAATTCGTCACATTACTCGCGCACGACGCCCAACTCGCCGTTGCACCTGCACACATCGACCCCGCCCATTTGGTCCCTTCGGTCCATTCGGTCTGGCCCGGGCTTCGTCGCCGCCGGTCCGGTCCCTGAGATCAGGACTGTCATGCTGCTCGGTCCGGTCCGGCTCGGACCTCCGACGGCCGGTACAAACTACGGCTCGGACCGGGATTGGATCGGTCCGGACCGTGTCCACCCTGAATTAGAAGGAAACACATGAAATCTTATCAAAGAAAAAGGGAACAACTAGCTGAGGAGCACTTGTTCGTAACCTCCCCCAGGTCATTTTGGGGAGGGTTGGGCACTTCATTTGGATTTTCTCTTCGCACGCGTTTTCGGCTTTTTAGATAGGTTTTTTTTGTTCTCTTGGCTTTTTGGTTTTCCACCAGTCTTGCTTAACTTTTAGACAAAAGAAATCAAACTTTTTTGCACGATTTTTTTCGTCCGCGAGATTCACGGTTTTGCTTCGACGAGAGGCACGGATTTGCTTTTGTGATAGGCATGGTCGTGCCTCTCGAAAACGAAAAAAATGTGATCGTTTTCTCTTCCGCAAGAGGTACGGCCGTGCCTCTCAGAAACAATTTTTTTTTTGGTTTTCCCTTACGCGAGAGGCATGACCCTGCTTCTCGGAAACGAAAAAAAAACATTTTCATTCCTTTTTCTTCGCGATCCGCGCCTCTTAGAAACAGGAGAAAAACCGTGTTTTTTTTCCTTCCACGAGAGGCATAGTTTTGCTTCCGCGAGAGGCACGGCCGTGCCTCTCGGAAACGGGAAAAAACTATTTTTTTTCTTCTGCGAGAGGCACGGTTTTTCACCCAGATTTTTCTCGTTCGTTTTTTTTTGAGGTTTTTTTTCGTCAAAACTTATCATCATGGATCTAATTTTGAAGATCTCGAAGCGAGGAATCCAACAGTGAAAACGGTTCGTGATTTGGACGCACAGTTTAAAACATAAAATGTTTTGAATAAACAAATCTACCAAAAAAGAAAAAAATCCGAGGTTGCGACAAGTCGCCCACATGCAGTGTGCCACTTCGCAACATGGGGAGGGCGGAGTGACCTTTGAAAGGAGTATTCCTCAATTACTGATTTTGCAAGAAAAAGGGAGATTGACAAAGGCGGCCCAAGAAAATAGAAAACCGATGAAGGCGATCTAAATCCCGGAAACCGATGGAGGAGTCTTCTTCTCCCCTTCCCATTCCAATATCACACATAATATCTTCCCTTTCCCTACATCCTCATATGGTTAATCTCTTCTATTGAATTCATACTTCAGCCAGTTGTTTCAACAGTATGGAACTATGAGGGAGGCCCCCCTCACATGTGCGCTTCTTTGGATTCTATGACATAGGCAGTGGAAACGGGGGCATGTCACAATTAATTATTGCATTTACTAGGTTTTAAACCATGAAACTCCTAGTTGCAAGGTTATGCAACTAACCAGTTCACCCATCCATCTGAACTGATGGAGAAAGGCGGGCAATATATTTTAGCACTCCCCTGCACATCTAGGCTATTTTTAGTTCTTAGAAATGCGATCGATATAGGCCGCAAAATCATTTTATTTAATACTGCATTGGCAGAGTATTGAACTCAAGACCTCTTGGCTCTGATATCATATGAAATTCAATGCTTTAGCCAACTCATTCAAAAGCCCAAACTATGAGAGAGGGCTGGACATTATACTCCAACACCCCCCTCACATCTATGCTCCTTTGGAGTCTATGATGTGGGCAGAAGAAACAGAGGCAGTCCGCAACTAATTATTGCATTTTCTGGGTTCCAAACCCTAAACCTCCTTACAAACAGAATAATTCTTTTCCTGGCCCAGAATGCATTAGTCACAGCCACGTCATGGATCCACCAGGTGATCTTCTTGCCGCTGCGGATATAGTTTATCTGGTTTTCATTCGTGAAGATTGAGGATTTGCAAGATTGAATACAAATCTCCATGTTGCTTTTTTTTTCTTTCATTGTGAAAACGGAGAGTTGGGCTCCAGACTATGTTGCGTACAAGTTCGGATATGCCAAGTAATTTTGAGTTTCTAATTTTTTTTGCCCAGTTTGATTTTTGTGATTGAATATGAGATAGAACTGTACCTTGGGAGCTTGGTTAATAAATGAACTGACCATTTTGATGGTCTTGGCTTGCATCTCACATGTCTCCCCATAGAATATCTTTGATTTTCGTATATTCAGATTTTGGTGCATATTCAATCACTCCTCACATGTATGAGAGTTGCGAACCATGGGAATGTTTTTTTGTAATGAAAGGGTTTCCCCCTACTCCATTTTCATAGAATGAAGCACACAGTTAACAACATTCAAGCCTACCATGGGAATGCTCATGGAGATCTTGAGTAGCGAGGCAGGTAAAATGTTATAATCTATTAAAAGAAAGAGTAACACACCAGAGGTGCCTTAAGTTGTCGGGCACAGTCACGTTCGTGTCCAAAGTTGTAAAATACATGAAATTGGTGCTATAACTTGTCCTATGGTGCAAGTACGGTGCCTCCGTACGTATTGTACATCCTGCTCACATGGCCTTGGCCCACATGTCAGTGGATGACAGCTGATGAGGTGTGCGTGAGAACTTTTTTGCAAAAAAAATACCCGCATATTCTTTTAGTAATAATTACATAAGAAAGCCAAACATGGGTCCCACGTGTCAGTCTATTAATACCACAGAAAAACGAACTGCCTCGCTGCTGGGTTTGAAAAATGGGACGTCCAGGTTCAAAACCTGCACGCTAGCCACTGGGTAGAAGACTACTGTAAGTACAACTGCTAGCTGGTTTCCTGCAAAAAAAAATTTGACTGGCGCTCTACAATTTCCTTTTATGTTATTTACCTTTTTTCAATTTACTATTGTTTATTCATATATAAATTACGATAATTATGAATATTTGATTATTATCTATTTTAAATCTTTATCCTGTTTTCATTATTGTCTAGGTTGAAAAGGTAAACATGAACATTTTCGAAAAATTATGTGATTTTAAACAGTTCAACGTATATTATAAAATATTGTAAATGTGTTAAAACATGATAAACATGTTTGTAGAAATTTTAAATTCTATAAATGTGTTAAAACATGTTCGTAGAAATATAAAAATAATTTTATACAATAATTTTTTAATACATGTTGAATTTTTTTAACTATACATTGTCAATTTTTTGAATGCATGACATACTTTTTTAAAACACATTTACAATTTCTTAATACAGCTGAGACTTTTCCAAAAATATGTTGAACAATTTTTTTTCAAATGCACTACATTTTATTTAAGTTTATGGCAGTTCTAGTATTTTCTTTCATTTATTTTTTAACAGGAAAATAATATAGAAAAT